CGGTGAATAGCCGTTTATGTGCAGCCCGTTTGACGACATCAGCTAAGGTTGATTCACGAAGTAGTACAAAACGCTGTTTGTTTGTGATTTCCGTTTACGCTCCCACCGCCTGCAGTTCTAATGCTGTCAAGGACACATTCTATGATGAACTGAACGCGCTACTACGCAGTGCTACTAGTCCAGATATTATAGTACTTGCAGGGGATATGAACGCACAAGTAGGGCGTCTGAGCTCTTCAGAAGCTCAGCTGGGTGGTAAGTATGGACTTAACTCCGAACGGACTGACAACGGCGAGCGTCTGCTGCAACTGTGTGCGGAGCACCAGTTGTTTCTTAGTAGCACAGCTTTTATACACAGTGGGCGCCGTAGTGCCACTTGGCGTCCTCCTGTAGCTGGCCAGCGATGGACCCAAATTGACCACATAGCCATAAGTTACAGGTGGCGTGGTTCCATCCTGAATTGTCGGTCATACTGGAGTACCTGTGTTGACTCTGACCATGCCTTGGTACGCTGTAGTTTCTCCATGAACTTTACCGGGAGGCGCACCAAGCGTCCCCTACGATTGGCAACGTAGAAATTGTCTCAGTCTTCTGTCAGACAAGCCTATCAAGAACCACTGCATACCGAACTTTCGCTGTCCTGTCCTAATGACACTGAGCTTCAGTGGAATAAGATCTTGGCCGCCATGCACGACACAGGAGCATCTGATTGTGGCACTATCCGTCGTCACCGCACCATTCACTGGGTATCCGAGAGGTCGGTGAACCTCTTGGAATCTAGAAGACACCTCCCGGGTGGTTCTGAACACAATATGACCAGACGGGCTATTAGACGTGAACTAAAGCAGAGCATACGTGCTGACAAGGAACCCTGGTGGACCAGTCGGGCTCAAGAAATGGAGGAGGCAGGAGCAGTAGGCAATTACCGCAAGCTCTTCCAACTAATCCGCATCACTGGTCCCAGAAAATCAGGCGGCAGTGAGATAATCAGAGACAGCGCAGGTGCATTGTTACACAATTAGGAGCGCCGTTGGCTCGTTGGGCGGAACACTTTCAAGATCAGTTCTGCTGGCCCCCTGCTCCCGGACCACTTCCTGCTCAGGTAATGCAGGACGAGCCATGGACGGTTAGTTTAGAGCCTCCGTCGGAGGCCGAGGTCCGAAACACGACCACAGCCCTTAATCGTTTTCGTACCGCTGGCCCGGATTCCCTCCTACCTGCCCTATTTAAGGATGGAGGAGAGGTCCTCTGCAAAGCACTGACCTCCTTATTCAAGTATATCTGGAAGGAAGATGGTGTCCCGGCTAATTGGAACGAATCGATTATAGTGACAAATACAAGTACATCAGTCACACAGACTGTTCTAACCACAGGGGTATTAGCCTAACGCCAGTTCTGACAAAATTATTAGCCTAGATTATCGTTCGTCACCTCACTGCGGAACAGGAGTCTCGGATTAGGGAAGAGCAGGCCGGTTTTCGCCCAGGACGTGGCTGTATGGATCATATATTCACTTTGCGGCAGGTGCTAAAGCAACGCCACGCATACCGCAGACCAACAATAGATGTGTTCATCGATTTCGAGAGTGCGTTTGATTCAGTCGATCGATCGATTCTGTTCGAAATCCTTGCGCGGAAAGGTGTTCCCACGAAATATGTGAACATCGTGCTCTATACTCGAACACTACAGGCCGCGTCAGAGTCTACGGTGTCCTATCGGATAGCTTTCCGATCACAAGTGGCGTTCGTCAGGGTTGTCCGATTTCCCATTTTTGTTCAATTTGTCATGGATTCTATCATGGGGTGTTCCCTTGGGGAATCTTACCATGTAGGCGTTGAAGTGCTGCCTGGTGAAGGTTAGTTGACGTAGATTATGCGGACGATATCGTCTTACTTTTCAACCATGTTGCGACGGCACAATCCACCCTGAATAGCCACTTTAGAGTGGTCCTATTATTTGGTATGCACTTCGCACCTTTGAAGTTCATAGTATTGCTACAGGACCACCATCCACTTGATGACCCCTTGACCCATGCTAACGAGGAAGTCGAAGGGGTTGATCAATTCACTTATCTTGGCAGCTGCATCAGCAACGATGGGCGCATAGAAACTGACTTGAGCTCACGCATTGCAAAGGCCAGAGCTGCCTTCTTGAACCTGCGGCATCTTTGAAGACTGAAGGGAGTTTCCCTTCGTCTGAAAGGCCGTGTATACAAGGCAACCGCGAGGGCCATTCTGCTGTATGGTAGTGAGACTTGGCCCCTTCAGTCTGAAGATCTGAGGTGCCTTCAAGTCTTTGATCATCGTTGTTTGCGAAGCATTGCTGATTTCGGATGGCACCAGCGTGTCCGCAGCGATGATGTGCGTGGGCGAGTACTAGGTAGTGATAATCATGCTAGCTCCCTGGAACAACAGATAGCACTGAATAAGTTGCGTTGGCTCGGGCACGTGCTACGTATGCCTGGTCGCCGGTTGCTTAGGAGGGCCTTGTTCAGTCTACCAGGTGTGGGGTGGCGCAAAGCTCGATGTGGATAAAAGTTGACTTGGCAGCGGGAAATGAAGTCACTGACGACCAAACTGGGTGCCGTTGGTCCGTCTCGCCTTCCGGGCTGGAATCCACGTGACTCGGCTTGTGTTTGGCTCGAGACTTTACAGAACAAGGCTCGCAGTAGACACCAGTGGCGGGTCTGCTGCCGTCTGCTAATCGGATTGCCTGTTTAAGGTGTGTTTGGTGCTGGGTTATCTGTGGCGTAATGGCTGGTTATGACGCGTGGCAGTGAAAGCCGCAAGGAAGCTATTACGCCAATACCGCCTTATCTTTGCACGATAGCCAGCTGTTTGTGACGGTATGTTGTCTACACAAGGTGTAGGCGCCTTGACTCTGAATGTTTGCTTAGGGCATTAAGATTTTCAGGTAAGTCCCTCTTCTCTCCCTCTTCTTATTTATTTCATAGGTCCTCATGGTTGTATGGCAGCGAAGCATCAGTTCAAATAGCTGATGTACTGCTGTTGATGATGATGATGTGTTGCTACAAGCAACCTCCTTTGAGACCTCGGTTCCACCCCAACTCAGGCTATCTCCACCTTATGAGTCCAAACCAGCACAAAACCACGGTTTTGGGGTGCCATCGTTAGGATGAGCAACATCAAAAATATTGCTACTCCTGGCCGGGCCTCTAAATCGGCAGTTGCCTCTTCAATGGAGCATCGCTTTTACCTTATCTGCCGTGGATTCAAGGGTTTTCACTAAATATTATTGACATTCTCTTCGGTTGCACTATTTCTAGGTCATTTGCGCTATACTGCGTTTTTTGCGTAAAGTAATCAAAAAGCGTTTTTGTAACTGGAAGAATCATCGCTTTGATTAACAAATGGCTCCGACACTGTACCCTCAACTGAAATCAGAATCACATTATCAAGGGAAATTATTGTTTGCGTTTACAGGACGGTATTCGGTTGACACTTGTGCGCCCCATGCTCTTTCTTGCATTTTTGCACTGATATTTTAGCCCACTCGCGGTAGTTCTTGTAAAATGCTGAACATGCACCCACTCGGGTACATAAAACCTATATTGACTTGACATTAAATACAGCATGCGCTGCTATCGGCGAATGTATTAGATTGGGTACTACAATCAGATTCGCTCTTCGGCCTTCGTACCACACGTCCCTTATGTTTCGCGATCCTCGCCGGCGGGCTCTCTCGCAATTTGGCCCTTGTACTCACATCATGTACAAGTGATTTTATAACTGCAGTTAGATGTTTTGCATAATTGAGGGGAATCTTAAGCACACGGGCGCCAACCGTATAGCGTGATCCTCTTAGTTAACTACCCCGATTTATTCAGCGTTCTTTTACTGCCACGATTTCCCATTGTTACCGTCTACTCCGTACTTGGTCTTGGTTTCGGATTAGGTAATTTCCGAGATTATCGTCTCACCTATCGCTTCGCATATCCCCTGTCATACTTATTTATTGACTTAGCTGTTTGCCGATAGTTTCATCACAAGGGTTTGCAGTCGTCAATTTGTCATCAGTGCTGTTCATTGACTGTGACGGAGAAACGAGACAAGATTTCACTGCGCCACCGGGAACCATTACTGGGGGTTAAATGCGCTCAAATTTAGGTTCCCCGGGCAGTGAACATAATGCTTTTCATTTATCGTTGTAGTCACAACTCTTTAACGGTATTCTGCATGGGCAAACTCACGGTTAGATTGCAACGTGTGGGTCGGTTCTAGTGATACTCTTAACAACAAAGTTGAGTCTGTTTCCCAAGCGCTTGGTTAACTGTGCTCATAGTTAGTACAGATCAGCTTGCACCAGTACGATCATGCTCATACATCAGTAGTAGTTTAGTGTGTGCATGTTTCTGAGATTCATCGAACTGCGGATGACTGCAAGGTTACGAAAAATAAGCAAAAAGTGAGTACTTTGCGCATGTTCTATATGTTATGCATGTCCCGGTAATAGAACACTAGTGATTATAGAATACATGCTGATTGGGAACTAAGCGTTAACACAGGTTATCTTCTGCCTGGTCCTGTTCGCGTCTGACGAAGAGATGATATGCTGATGAAAGTTTTGAACACGGTGTCGTAACTCTCCTCCTCCCTTGTTTCATATAAAAAGGATCGTTTCTGGGGCTTGTCAGTAGCCGTTGCTTCGCTTCATGTGCTCTCCTTCAGTGGTTAAAGGCGTCTACCACTTCCACTGGAGACACAGCGTATGCAGAATCGATCCAGCTTGAAGTGTGCATGTTGTTCTAAACTGGTGCTATTACGGTCTTATATATGGGAAGTAGTAAGCTTCAGATGCCATCCTGGTTGAGCTGCTAGCTGAGAATATGAGACTGAGTATGTAACTGGATGCAATATCGATACTGACTACTAGAACACATTCAAGCACTCTCCTCCCTTACTATAATGGTAGTAATGTAACACTACATTTGCTCTCTCTGGTGTTTCTTCTACGTTCGTTTCTTCTACTTTTCCCCACAGCTCCTTTTCTTCCGGTTTCCTTGAATGGAGCTGCGGCTGCAGCGGCGACATACACACTTGCCGCCACCTCTCCAGTCACCGCTCGACAACCAAGCGCCTATGCCTATCTACCAGGCTACTATTTGTCCCCTGGTGAATGCCCACTGTCCCAACCTCTGTCACTTTTCCTGCCGCCTACGGCTCTGCTCTCTCCCTACGCCAACATGATTTCGATGTCCTGATAAATGTTAATGCTTGGGTGAGCTTGAGGATTCAGGTCTCACGCAATAACATCCTCGTCCACGTTGATCGGTGATGGTGCACAAACCTTCGTATTGGCTTAAACCAGATTGGTGTACCGTGCACTGCCTATATGATCTCCGGCAAGTGCACACGCTCCGCTGCCCATTTAACTGCGGACTCACATCCTGATCAGCACCACTTCGCACGCGTCCTACAGGGTACTTTATTATACCCTTAAGATTTTTCGTGTTACTTTTGTTTTACCGCCATCGCTTACGGCTGACAACAACATATGCTGTAATCGTTCCCTTATCTGTTTGGTGATCACATTGCTATTCCTCGCGCCTCATTCATTTTTATCTGGAAAAAATATCTTTCTCATCTACGTGTTGTTTTTCCCCCACCATTTTGTGTGTGTCTGTGTACGTTCGCCCCTCAACCCATTGGGAAAATCTGTCTTCCAGGCTCCTTTGGGCGAATTATGTGTGCAAGAGCACACGGAAACACGTGTTATTTGCTCAGCTCGGTTACTTTTTCGGCGACTGAGATTCGAACGATGCCATCTCACATATTACCTCTTCCTTGCTATCCCACTTTCTCCCTCCCCCCCAACGAGTTTCTGTTCTCTCCTCGAGTTTCCCTCAGTGCTCGTCTTTGTCACACCGCCTATGTGTCGTTAGGAGTTTTAGTGGCGCTGGAGCTGAGAATCCACAGTTTCAACACACTCTCAATTCTTGGATAACTTTTCCGGCCGCGCCCGTTCATCATATTGGCTCAGGCTGTATTACCTTCCCGTTTCTCTGCGCTTTCTCACGTATGTTCTTTTTGTGTACGTCTTTCACGGGACTTGGTGCGTGGACCAGCGATATTGGACAGATCAACACTATGGCTCCAACCCCGATCACTACAGGTCTGAATATACGTACCAAGTGTTCAACCACCCTGACGTTTATTGTGCAGCAGCTCCGAAATCACGAGTATCACCAGACTAACTCGCCATTTTGTTTACGTACAATCGTGACGGAAATAACGCATCTCCCCTTGTGATTATCACTGCTTATTTTTTCTTTATATATTGCACACTGAGCAACTTTTTGGTAATCTTATGTATACTTGAGTTTTTAACGCTCAACGCCTGCGGCTCGTTTACCTGTTTGATTGTATCCACCATTTGAGAGTTCACGCAACATTTGTGTCTGGGAATTGGGTGTTCTCGAATCCTCCTCTTTCATCTCTCGACTCAGGCTGTTGTACTCCTCCTCTTCTCTCCTTCATTCTCACCCCTTTTGCATCTAAATTGCTCACATCATTTGCGGGTCTGTCACCTGTCTTCGCTTGCTTTTCCTTCCACAACTCGCATCTAATTTGATTTCACCAAGCCACAGCTCACTATCGTCGCCGCTTATGTGTGTACGTATGTAAAGCAAGATGTAAATGTCACGTTTGCCCCCTTTCTTCTTTTTGTTCTTTACCTTCTTCATTTCCCCCTTTCACTTCCCTCATTTTTGAGCTGGAAGATGAAGCTGGAAATCGCTCGCTCACATCAATCAAATTCAATATTGCCTGTGTATACAGTAATGCAGACTGAAAAATTATTTTTATGCTAACTCCTTTTTGTTTCTCTTTTCTTACTCGTCCGATGATTTGTTGTTGACTGTGACACATCCTACCTGGCTCCCGTGCATCCCGCCATCGCTCAACCAACAACGTGATCGCAGAGTTGCTCTCCTTTCCCCCGACGGCTGTTTTCAACGCTAAACATTCGTCTTCACACTTAACCTACTGACTACAGTTTCTCCTCGACGAGAGTGCAACAAGCTTCCTGATTCAGGCTTTGAACATTATCTGTCTCTCTCGAATTTCGGTCATTTATCATCAGAGATCGCGCGGTAATTTATGGTACAATTGTTGCCTTGTACTTTGACAGCGCGGTATGACCTTACTGTGAAGCTAACATCCCTTTTTTCCTCTCCGCTCCTTTTCGCTTCACGGGACACCTATCCACATTTGTACTTATATGCTAATCGCCCAAGAATATATTCTCCCCTTTAAGAACACCTCAAGAATCAAACTCGGTTTGAATTTTGCACGTCTTCAGCATAACTTTAACAGTCCTAGTAGAGAGTTCGTTATATTCAACGTTTGACTGAAATCGACCGTAACGCCGTCAGTTGCAGGTGCCGCATATCACTGTAGGGTTATCGACTGATATGGAGCACATACCTAGACTTCAACCATTCCTTAGTGCTCACATAACTTGCTCTCCTAATATTGACCAATTGCAGAGTCCCGAAGGTGCCTTCTCTTCACATGTGTTCCGTTTCCGCATGGTTGTAATCTCATTCTGAATTGCCGCGTTTGCTACCACCGATGTAACAGCTTGATAGACGGAATTCCGTTTGATTTCGCCTCCACTTATCATGTGGAGGGCATCCGAAGCTATCAGTCCACCAAGGTTGAGGCTTCTGAATAGCGGATGGCTTTTAAACGTTACGATTACTATGCCTTAATGTTGAAAGTTCTGTCACGAGAAAATGTCCTGAAAACAAATCCATATGGTCTTAGGATTGATTAGGGGCATCAGTAAGCGGTGCGCTTTCTCAACAGGGGACACAAAAGCTGTTGGAACTAGCCAAGTGATGTTGCACCTAGCACGGAGTGTAGCGCTGATACGAAATCTGGACTAATTCAATCGCATGCAACGGAAACGGAAAACTATGCTGGTGGACCTAAGCATTCCGCACGGTGTGGGCAGAGGAAATAGGATTTAAATCCATTTTTGGGTATTTCCTTCGCAGCTGGATTCAGCCCGACAGCTACCACACACCCAGGAATGCGCTAGACGGTTATTTCATCCTAATGGGGCTCTTTAGTAGCTCGCACTTGCCGCATCCTGCCTCATCGGAACCCATGACCTTACTTTCATGTGTCAACGACTTACGCCACTGAGCCATGGGTGACCGCGCCAGACTGATATCTAACGGCGATTTAGCCTGGCTCATCCACCACTCTCATGCATGTTATGAACGTGGGGAAAGGACAGGGCTGAGTACCATCTACGACGAACATTCTCAAAAACAAATCTTCCTACTGTTCTCTAACGTAAATTCCTGTTATCGTGGTTCCACAAGTTGCGTCTGGAAATTCCGCGCTGGTTAGTTTGGGGCCCGCGCATACGTATTGTAAGACATGTCAACAACCCCCTATCGTGCAAATCACTGAAGTGACGTAGTGGGAGGCGCTGCGACCAAGCTAATGGAGTCGGTGTGAGAACTCATGTCATTTCAACATGGAGAGACGGGTTAACATGAAGTTTTGCTTCCAAATTAGGAAAAACGGCTACTCATGAAATGTTAGTGCAACTGTATGGTGTTGAAGCAGTGAGTGAAACGCTTAAGCGCGGAAAGTGGCGAGGGAGTTTTGAAACGGCTGCTGCAACGCATGAGGCGGATTCAACCAGAACTGTACCATAGTGAATAGTGGAATTTCCTCAACAACGCCCTTCCGTACACTGCGATCCGTGTGATCAACTTATTTCAACACCCTCCCTATTCTCCAAATTTGGCACCGATAGAAACGATTGCTGTGCTTGAATTACAGCTGAAGGATTTGAAGGAAAGGTTTGATTCTCTGTACCAAGTGCTAGAGCAATTTAACTCGATTATTTTTTTAATACTCCAGATACACCAAAAATCGAACACCTTCGATCCGTTGGGAATCTTATACAACATGTTGCATTTGAGGTGCATGATCGCATTAAACGCTCCAAAAATGTTATAGCATTTAATTTACCAGAAAAGTTATCTCTTGAGTCTATCTCCTCTGCAGTGGCAAACGACTGTCATATTGAAAGACGGCAGTTTTCTTGTGTGAGGCTGCGAAAGAAATCTCCGAAGCAGGTCCGTCCAGTACTCTTTAGATTTTCAAACGACACACTTGCTGAAAAATTCATTTGTAGTAGGAGCGCACTATCCCTTAGGAAAGATTACGTATCCATGGTCCTGAAACCAGACCTAACAGTACTACAAAGGGAGTGCAAAAAAGCCTATTTCCGACAAACGGTATGTGACCCATATGTTCCGCCACCCACGGAAACTCAGGAACTTCCCCACCTGGTTGACCTAGATGACACTCTGATCATAAATGAATCAGCTCTAAGGTTGAAATCAAATAGCAACTGTCATAAAATATCGCTTCTGACTCCATTCAGTGTCACATTAGTTCAGCATTACCGCGCAACTCGTCCCCGAACATACAAGAAAGTTCCATTGCGCAAACGACTATTTCTACTCACTCTTTGTCGTTCACCAACCAGGTGCATAGACGCTCTGGTACGAAACTGAAAACCTTCTCTCCTAAAAGCTGCGAACCTTTAAAACCGTGGAACAGCCTTGTTGCAAAGAACACTGGTAGCAAAACCTCACGTGGAATCTACACGGGTGCTCCTAAGCACAATAAAAACACAGCTATTTCAAACGTTCCACCAAACGCTGTCACCACTGAAAACCAGCGGACAATCGGCATATCTCCAACCATGCAGCATTTGAATATGCGACCTGTGCGCTCCATAACTTGTGAGCCACTTGCTAGGGAACTTCAAGTAGCTGAGAGAAATTGGTCCAACCAAAATCCTCTCAAACTACCTCAACATGTAAATAATCTTAACTGGCACGTAAGTTATGTGCAACAGCCAGAAAACTGTAATCTCCCAGTGGGTCGCCATTTTCCCAGTATATCACCCTTCCAACCTTTTTGGGGGGGTCCAGTGGCGTTCTACCCGCCACACCCCCAAATGACACTAATTCCGCAAATTATATGTCCTCCGTATCCACCACCCCCACTCCACTCTCTCCAAATACCACCTCGTTGGGGTCCTGTACCTGGATTCCTGTAGAAAACCCAACGGATAACAAGTCACTGCACTTACTTTTAATTAATTCCCGTTCACTGTTAAATAAAATGCACTTCCTGCGTATTATCCTTCACCTTTCTTCTCCTGATATAGTACTAATTACAGAAACATGGTGTTCAGCAGAGATGTCTGACACATTGTTCAGGATACTGGGTTATAACATCTTTCGTAATGACTGTCTTTATGGTAGAGGTGGTGGCTGTATAATCTACGTCAAAGACAAATACTTGGTTCTGCCTCTGAATAAACCATTCCTCCAGAGACTTCCTGATTCGGAGTGGATTACAATTTCTATTAATCCAACAAATCTCTTAGTAGGTTGTATTTACAGACCCCCATCGTCTACACTCACCGTGACCGATGACTTGTTGGACACTTTCTCTCTTATTGCTGACCTCTCATACACTAACAAAATAATCGCTGGGGATTTTAATATGCCCGAAATCCCATGGTCCATTAACAATAAACCACAAAAACACAATCCTTTTATGTCTACTCTTGATCGACTGGGATGGGTACAGCACGTCACAGAACCTACACGGCTTGGAAACACTTGATCTAATATTTACGATGGGATGTTCGCATGTGTCCACATACATCAGTGACAAGTTGCCGGGTAGTGATCATAACATTGTTGGTTGTTCTTTCCAAATTCTTTCTAGACCGACATAATCAGTGATAAATTATTGCCCATTCTCTTCTGTGAATTGGTCAATTTTCTCGGATCTAATAAGATCTACATATTGGGATCCATTCTTCTTAGCACAGAATGTACAAATTGCTTGTAATGAATTCTACCACCGCATTCAGCTTTGTGTTGAAGCTGTGGCTCCAGAACGTACCAAGAAGTTGAAAAGGACTGCTGCTCCTGCAGGCATCTCAAAAAAGGTAGCCACTAAACTTTAAAAAATAAAGAAAAAATTTAGGAAAACTAACGATTTTACTCTGCTGATGCGCCACACCAGATTGCTTACAGCGTTATACCAAGACCACCACAAAATGCTATGCTCTGAGGAAGTAATGGCACTGAAGGGCGCAAATGTGGTAGGCTGCATCTCAAAACTTTTGGACCGTAGGCAGAATAGAAAATCAAGTTGTATAAACATCATTGTAAACTCTGATGGAACTGCCATAACCGACGGTGCAACCATATGTTCGATCTTCAACGACTACTTTATGTCTACTTATGGCGCTAATGCGAAAGAAGATTCTCAGCTCAAGCTGATACACAGAGGGAGTAATACACTCCAAACTGTTGAATTTACACTTAGTGACGTATGTCGCCAACTCAGATTAGTTCGGCCATCATGCTCACCAGACCCTGACAACATCCCTCCAATACTGGTAAAGCACGGAGGTCCAGACATCCCCCTGTTTTTGCTTAATGTATTTACACTTTCCATGCTCAATGGGGAGTATCCTATACATTGGAAACAATCAACTATAATACCAAGGCACAAAAGCGGATCTGTGCAAGATGTAACAAATTACCGCCCAATCCACCACACATATATTATTTCCAGAATCATGGATAGTTAAAGAACGCATAATAGAATATTTGAGTTCTATGAGCCTACTCAGTAAACACGGTTTTCTGAAAGGTAGGTCGTGCACTGCCTGCCAGTTAGATTACCTTGATTATGTGACTAGAGCAAGAGACGCCGGAAGTGCTATCATCGTAATATTTCTTGATGTCCAAAAGGCTTTTGACCGTGTCCCACACAATTTATTGCTGCTGAAGCTTATGTCCTATGGTATCACTAATTCGCTTCTAGACTGGTTGTCTTCCTACCTCGAGGGTAGAAAGCAAGTAGTCAAAATCGGTAACTATACATCTGAAGCCACTACAATCTCTAGTGGAGTGATTCAAGGTAGCGTGCTAGGCCCGCTTTTATTCTTAATCTATTTCACCGATCTCCTCGACGAAATCTCGTATGGAAAGCCGTACCTTTTCGCAGATGATGTTAAAATTGTGTATTGTTCCGCCCCTGGGCAACCTAGTCCTAACTTAGCCTATATTCAGTCTGACTTGTCCGCATTGGAGCTCTGGAGTAACTCATGAAAGCTGCACTTTGCCACGGACAAGAGTAATCTATTGTACTACTGCTGTGGCCCTTCTCTGAACATCCTTACATTAAACGATACCCCT